AACAATCAGAAACCGACCGCTGGATGTACCTACGGTTCTCCGCCGAGCTCCACTCGCAGGTTGTCGTAGGGGTACACTTTTGGGGCAAATGGGATCTTGGACGCCTTGTCGTTCCACACGGCCAACAAACCCAGTCCAGCAAAGCAGCTCAAGCCCCCACAGAGCCAAGCCAAAGCTTCGTACTTTCCGACGGTGTCGGCGATTCGATCGGTGCATGGTTCGGGAAACGGCGTGCCGTTGTCCCAGACGAGCTCGTCGTTTACGGGAAGGGGCTTGTCGGGGACGATGTGCTTGCCGACCGGAAGGCCCATGCCGGCGCGGACACGGAGAGAGGAAGCGACGGAACGTGAGACGACACCGTTTCCGCCCATGATCTTGGAAGCCACACTGCTCAATCTCCCAGCCATTTCGCAAAATGCTTCGTCTTCTTCGTTTTCTCTTTCTGAAACCTAAAGCAACAAATTCGATCGCAATTGGATTCTGGAGTTGGAAAGGAATCGAGATGATAGATGGAACGACGACGCTTTGGAATGTAATCAGTAATCTTTGCCTGTTTAATGGGCTGGGCATAGGATTCCCTTGTTGGCCCAATGCAAGTCCAAAGTTCAAAGTTGCAAGCCACTGGGCCAAATGTGCATGCCTCGTCGCCTCGTTTTCCCGCCAATTTGAAACCCTCACGCGTACAAGTCAGCTTTCTACCCTTTCCCATCACGCACGCACGTATCCGGCTCTTCATCTCTCTCTCTCTCTCTGTGCAACTGCAAGTATGGCTAAATCCTTCCAGGTAATTTTATAGCTTAAACCTATGTCTGTCTGTATTCATCTTCCTAATTTTTGTTTGTTCAAATTATTTGTAACCTAAAAATCTGTATGTACTTATTGGGAAGTGTTTTTAAAATGACTAAATGCGTTTTTGACGAAAATAATTTTGGAGTAAAATGTAAATAAATCATGGAATTGCCTTGAAGTGCTTCCATCAAGAATGTTATGTGCTTCTTGCAAGAAGCGTTTTTTGGAACTTAAAAATATTTTCTCAAAGTTTTTTCAAAAAGCACCATCAGTAGCAGTAAATTTGCTTTCATTATTCTAAAATTGGTAAAAATGGTTAATTTCCCAGTTCAATCTGTTATATATGATCCAGTTGGGGCTTTAATTCTATGATTTTCAAAGGAATATATTCATAATTTTTATAGGCAACAAGGATGAAGAGGAAAAGAAAATCTGCTGCTTGTGACACCCAAATCCAAATAGGCAACATGGATGATCAAATTGAAGAAAAGGGTCCCTTTATAACAGATCTTCCGAAGCCCGTCTTTTGGAATATTTTACTAAAGTTACCAACCAGGAGCATTCTCATTTGCAAATGTGTTTGCAAGACTTGGCGTGCTCGAATTTCGGACCCTGAATTTGCTAACCTGCACTTTGCACAAGCAGAGCCATGTCCTCTGCTGTCGCTTCTCGGTCCAACTCCAACACGTGTGCCAAGAACCCTTTACTTGGTTGAGCCTGAAGATCGCTCTGGGTTTGATTTGAAGGATTGTGCCTGTGCTGCTACTGGCAATGCTTGTGACCAGTCTCATGTCCACATGAAGCTTACCAAGTACAAGATCCCATTGCGCAACGATGAGGAGGTCATCAATAACAACAGTGATAACGGCAATGTGATGCCTAATGGGAACCGCGGCACCAAAAGGAAGACTTGCATCAGGATACCGCCACATCATCACAAGTACAATGTGGTGAATTCATGTAACGGCCTGCTTCTCTTGTCTGAGCCAATCCACAACGACCCTGCTGTTGTGTGCAATCCAGTAACCGGTGAATTTATAGACCTTCCTGAAAGCTCTAGGCCGCATCAGAATATAAGGATTCCTGTCGAATGTGGATTGGGTTTCAGTTCCGAGACTAATGAATATAAGGTGATACGAATTTTTGAAGCTGAAGCAGGCTATAGCTTTAAATTTGCTGAGATACACACACTTGGAACAGGTTCATGGAAGTCCATTGGTGAAGTTTCTGAAACAGCGGGTAACCTAGTATCCCCTACCTATGCGAAAGGAGTGCTTTATTGGTATGAGTCTTATGGCTATAGAATTCGTTCTTTTGATTTGAACACTGAAAAGTTCAAATCAGTTCCATCACCGCCTTTTCCGATCAAGCAATTTATGTATGTGGGCATGGGAGTTTTGGAAGGTTGTCTTTGCTTGTGTGATTCCTATGGTGATCTTATCACTGTGTGGACACTGACAGATTCTGGTGGAAAACATCGTTGGACGAAGGTGATTGCTATTGATAAAGATGATAGTGGAAGGTGGCCATATGGCGTATATACAGCTATGAAATACTATAAGAGCTATGGTTTGTTTATGTTTCATTCTCAAACAAATTCCTTCTTTTACTATCACCCAGAAAAACCAAGTTCATACGTTTATCTTAAGCTTTGTGGCTTCAAGGCAAATTTTCAAGCAATTAGTCATGTTCCGAGCTTTATTTTACTCAAGGACATTCTGGCAGGGAAGGATGTAGAAGTATTGAATATAAATACAAGGTAAGGATTTTTTCTTTACGTTCTAAGATTCTGCGTAAATTTGCTGCTCTGGTTATGTATTTGTAGGATATCAAACTCAACCTCAGAAGAATTTATGTGGACAAACATTTATGCTTGGCTGTCTTTGAAAGATCCCAAAATCACCCTATATGTTTAATATGTTTCCCGCTGATTAATTTTTAGTTTTGTTCAGTGATTGATTGTACATGGTTGAGTTTACTTTTCGACTAGATGAAGAGCATGTATGAATTTTTCTTGTCTTAGTTGCTTTCACTACCTGATATTGTCAATTTATAGGATTTGTGATATTTGCCTATCTTAGTTGATATGAAGTATATCTGTGGTTTTAATGAAAAATGGGTCGTGTGTATGCAATTGCTAATTTGAAAACCATGTATAACTGGACACATACATGAACATATACATAAATTAACAAATTGGAAATGGAAGTATAAAAGATGAGTTAGTGTTTATCTGTATCTCAACTCTCAATCATGAGGAAGTAGAACTCTGTGCTTTATGGTTGCATAGTATTTCCAACGAGGAGGTGCTTTTCGAGGCTACTGTTCTATATTTGAGACTACTTTAGACCAGAGCACCAAATGATAATTATGCTCATGAATCGGAAAATGATGAATGCGTGTTAGACCTCTTTTATGACACCAGAACTGCAGAAGAAGGGACCTATAAACTCCTGCTCAGACAAATGTCAGTTGTGAAAGATGAATGAAGGATGCTGACATTAGTTCTGATGCTTAGACTTAACTTATCTTTGGATTTCTACAAACAAAAAACACATGGAACCCGCTCACGCACGTACACATATCTATGAAAGTACAAGGAAGTAGGATTCATCGTCTTTCATTGTCACATATTGGTTTGCTGAATTGTCCTTTCTTTGCATATCTCATTGGTGCTGTTAGAACTTAGAACTTGGGTAATCTGCTTTTCTGAAAGGTAACTCGTTAAGCCGTTGAGAGAATATCATGTTTACATTAGGTGCTGCAATGACAGAATACGTGAAACCAAACAATGCGCTCCTCTTCTGATCCTTGGATACAATTTTTCTGCTTGTTCAAGTTTTTGACTTTGAATCTCATAACTACTGTTGTCGATACAGGTGTGCAGGGTTGAAGCTGCAAGGAGAGACCAGAGCTCTATCTCTGAAGGAAGAAATTGCCGAATTCGAATCAGACCCTTTTTCGTCGGACAATTACTGTTTTAGCGACGAATGAAACGAGCAGGCACTGATGGAGGTGATGTGGTTTCACGGCGAGCTAAAAGAACCATTTTGTTAAATTATAGTATCGATCGAATCAAAAGAACCATTTTGTTAAAAGGGTTGTGATGGGCTCTTAGTAGTATTTTACCCTGTTGGACAGCATAACCTTTGATTCCGATCGAACTAGTCCTTTCAAATATTTATTATTTTGGATTGGAGTTAAATTACTAGCTGTGTTTGATGCTCCTTTTAATTTTTCTTTTTAACTTTTAAGTTGTTAACTACGCCGTTTTACTTAACACTCATTTAGTTGGGTATCATGAGTTCTAATCTCACAGACTACACTTATTGAGTCATTTTTTAAAAAAATTTACCAAAAGGTGGATAGAAAATACAATGCTCGCCCAAGGGCCTATAAATGGGAGTAGGATTCTCTTCCCTCTATTTTTCCGTCTTTCTATTTGAATGGTCACGGTTAAGCTACGTCAACATCCCATTAACTTTTTATAGCAAGAGAAAGACAAAATAAGAGAATGTGAGAGGAGGGAAGAGAATCTTAGTCCCTATAAATGAGGTCATGTAAGGACCATTTTATTTAAAACCTTTAAATTAATCTAGGCCTAATTGTTACTTAATACTACGGTTTTATGATATTCATCTTTACTTGTAAGTGAGAGATCTTAGGTTCAATATTCGTCAAATACGAGTTTGAACCACATTATTGTTTGCCCATTGTGGGGCTAAGCTCATCTCTCCTATTTAGTGTAGATAATATTGTTTGTTCAAAAAAAAAAATTTAAACGTAATTGGATTAAGGAAAGTGCTATCACACATCCTATTTCACTCCCACAAACACTTGTTAATTTTTTGTTGCTGATCTTCTTCAATCCATTCGATCCGACGATCAAAAATTGACAATGTGTGTGAAAAGTAAAAATGAGTGTGAATAGCACTAGCTTGGATTAATAGCTACCGTGATACCACGTGTAGTTGTAAGAGAGTCGTGGTAAAAAAATTAGGATTTAAACCCTTGTGGTGAAGTATTAGGATTTAAACCATAAAATTAAAAATTTTGTTAACTCTTCATTAATTGTTAACGCATGACTACGCTATTACCACGGGGCTATTAATCCAATTAAGTCATTAATCTAAAGGTAGATAAAATCATGTGGTTGGCTTTAGCATCACTCAATAAAAATCAGAAAAAAACTAGCAAGACCACTAGTCTAATTCGGGTTGACTGGAGCTCTACCCGGGCCAACCAGACCCGTGTCCACTATCAGTAACGCAGCACGCACACCGTTTCTCAACTTTCAATTGCATTTGCCTTGCTTTGAGAATATGAATGCTCTTGGCGGTGGCGGCCATGGCGGCCTCTGGGGTTGGAACTACTCATCACCCAGAAAACCGAAGCAGCAAAGAAAACGCCCATTTGATTCCAAATCCCAGTCTTCCTCCAAATCTGAGGACGCAACCGGAAGAGCAGGTCACTGGTTTCCGTTAAAGCAAGCCGCCACGGCTGGCACACTGGCTCTGACGGGAGATACAATTGCCCAGCTCACACAGCGCTGGAGAAAAGCAGAGGCGGAAAACCAACAGGTTTATCAAAGTTAACGTCTCTTTCTTTGTTTCATTAAGCTGTTTGGTTACTGAGAAAATGTAGGAAAAGTTAAGGTCAGTTATTTGAATTTTATGCTGTGTTTGGTTGCTGAGAAAATTAGGAAAAGATAAATATCGGAATTTTATGATGGGTTTGGTTGCTGAGAAAATGTGGGGTAAGGAAAAGTGTTTGGGTGCTCAGAAAATGTTTGAGGGTTTATGAAGTTTTGAGTTTGGGTGCTCAGAAAATGTTTGAGGGTTTATAAAGTTTGAGTTTGGGTGCTCAGAAAATGTTTGAGGGTTTATAAAGTTTGAGGCTTGGAATTATTTATAGTTGGGGTTTGGAGTGAGAAAAGAACAACTTTCAGCTTCTAGCGATGTAAATTGCAGTTAATTGAGAGTTGGTTCTCTAATTCTGAGCACAGCAGCTACTTATTAATTTGCAGGATGATTTTGTTTCTTATAATTGTACCGAAGTTGGCGCAAATGCTAAACCGGTGTTTCCTTGGTTGTATATTGTGTTAAATGAAGGAAACTCTTGGATCTAGATGTGTTAAACTGACTAGAAAGAACAAGTGCCTAATATGGGTTGGATGGCCCTGTTAGGCCACAATTTCCCAGCTTATAGGTTGTTATCCGCTAAGCTATTGCTTAACCGAAGGTTGTGGTTTTAAGTTTGTAGCGGGTGCAATGATGGATCAGCACTTTGTGCTGTGAATCTTGAATTTCTTTTAGTTTTTTGGCTCTGCTAGCGAACTCAATTCTAGGTTTGAGACATATTACCATAAACCTTTTTGTAGTGACGAATCTTGTATGTGTTCCTAAGAAAAGGAAGTTGTCCATTTTTCGGGAGAACTCTTGAATGAAGGTGGAAAAGAATCAAGTTTCTTTCCAAGCATTCCCTTGATTTTTTTGGGTTATTCTTCAAGTATGTGACCAAACCTTTCGGTGGTGCAGAGTCAAATGCTAGAAAATTCATTTATAATGGATAATGCTATGAATATGGTGTGCCTCCTAGTTGATTTATGTGGTCCATCATCCAGGCTTGTTGACTCTTTGTAGCTCCGTCAATTGGTCTAGTCTTGTCTAATATTATAGTTTATGTTTTGTAAGGATGCTTTGTTACATTGTTATTTGTGTTCCTATGAGTTTAGTGTTTGATGACCAAAATCTCTTTCTTAGGATGTAACACATGCTCTCCTCTCACACCATGATTGGCTTCGTGCACTGCGGATGACTTCCTATGGGTTTCTTTTGTACGGCCCTGGTTCTTATGCTTGGTACCAGTATCTTGATCATTCTTTGCCTGCGAAAACTGTAGAGAACCTACTGCTGAAGGTACGACCTCTTTTACATCAATGTTGAGGTAGCATGACTCTAAGGAACTTCAGAAAAGAAAAAAAAAACAAAGTAAAGTTTGAGGAAATAAAAATTGAACGGAAGTCATTTGGAAGGCATCTCATAGTTTTCTTTTCTTACAGGTTTGTTGAATCAAATTGTGCTTGGTCCATGTGTGATTGCTGTTGTTTTTGCATGGAACAATTTATGGCAAGGGAAACTCTCACAGCTTCCAGAGAAGTATCGAATAGATGCTCTTCCCACCTTACTTTATGGTAAACTTATTCTGATTGTTATTTATGTTCACTCTGTAGTTCAGATTTCATAAACTCATATTTTTCCAATTTTTGTTGTATTATTTTGTGCAGGATTTAGGTTCTGGATACCTGTCAGTTTATTGAATTTCTGGTACACCATTTTCTCTTCTGCTATTTATTTCCTCTTTTTTTCATCTCCTCCAATACCTGAAATTTAAGCCGTGCCTCAATTCATCATAGACTGTTGGAAATTGTTTGTAAACTAGTAATTTCTCTATAAAGACAATGAAAGATTTTTTGCAGTGGGTGATGGGAAAATTCTTTTCCTGGAACATCATACTCTGGCATATACTCTTTTTAATACCAAATCAAGTGGTAGCTTTATCTAATTGACTGAAATGGCTTTCGATATAGGGTGGTACCTCTTCAAGCTCGTGTAGCTTTCATGTCCGTGGGTTCAATTTTCTGGAACTTCTGCTTGTCTTCAACTATGAGCAAGTAGCATCTGTGCATTTTATCAACAATTGTATCAGCAAGCAGAACTTTGGCCACGAGGTATCGGTTACACATCTGATTGCTTACCTTGCTTTTAGCTTCTTAGTTCTTCCTGTCTTATGCTATTTCTTTACTCGTGGCAGGTTGGTTTGGAGGTCTGACATCTGGGAGACCGCTGTTGAGAAGAAAATGAGGACCAGAAGCAACTTTTTTGTTAAAAAAGATGAAATTCAAGCCCTTCGGATTTGAAGTTTGATTGTTTAACAACGCGGACCTTGTGAACTGATTCTTTTTCTGCTAGCTGTAAAAGAAGAAAGGAAAACGGATACTTTTCTTAACGTACCTGGTCATTACTCTGATTTTTGAGCCACTCGGTTGTTGAAATTGCCTTTAATTGGGCTAGGTTCCGTTACTTGAACGAAACTAGATCTTGTGGAATCATATTGAACATTTGGCAATGCATTTTCAACTTTGCTAAAACTCTGCGTACTTGTTCTATGGCAAAAATAAACAAATAAATTCATACAGCGACCAAGACGGTGGATGCTATCGAAGATCATACCAAGTTTACTTGCATTGCAAGGATCTAAAGCAGTGTGCATTACAGATGTTTGCAATGCAAGGATCTAAAGCGTTTTGCATTACAGATGGAGATATACAACATCCTCCGTGAAAGAAATGTAAGAATGTTTAGATGCCTTGCGATAGCTAATGGGGCCAAAAGGTGACAACTGAGAGTCCGAAAGCTCAGACTCGGGGGAATAAACTTTAAGAACTGGGGAGCGCACTACAATGGACAGAATCCACGGCGCACCTCATCTGCAAACCGTTGATTGACTCATAAGAATGAGTGCTTGATTGTTCAGTTGAGTGGACGCGTGTGTGCGGCCGTTGCTGGGAAACCTCTGCCATAGAATGCATTGTTATCTCAATCACATCGCAGAAACAGGAAAAGTAGAATCTGAACGGGTTGGAATCGATTCCTACATTGCTTTTTCTGTCGAATCTCTAGTAGCTTTTCTTGCATGCCACCGGAAAAAGCATCCGCAATACAAAAAATGACAACCTTGATTGACAAATATATATGTATATATACCTTGAAGCAGATGAAGGAATAAAAACTCTCAGAACCCGAAAACACATCAACAATATTGCATAGGAAGTGCAAACTCCGGAGATAGGCAGAACGTAGACATCATGAGCAGAAGTACCAACAATACCTATTCTCTTCCTACTCCTCCTCGTCCTTATCTTACCTATCGTGAGCCGTTTGATCTCTACTTCGGGAATTTTGAGGACGATTTTGGTGAATGGGCTTCTGGGATCTCTGGTAGTCCCTTGTATGATTTTCAAGCAACTCAAGTAAGTATAGTTTCTTTCCCCTTTTCTTTATGATACGATGTGTAGAATATGGCATAAACTATTTTGGTTGCATAATCAGGTAACCAGAACAGGTGCGTCGGATTCAAGGCGACCATTTGAGGGAACGCTGGCGGTTGCAAGACCTCTTGGCTTAGCAGGGTAATCGCAGTCGAGATCACAGTTCGCATGCAGATTTTCCTTCTTTCTTTTCATGTCATTGATTCACATATCAGTAAAATGATTAGTACGCATACGTATGTGGTTTAGCATCAGTTCATATATGATCTAACGGCTAATGTGCCTCTTTCGAGCGCAGCCATTACTCGTACATTTTATTTGTTATCCTTCTCTCACCTTCTACTGATGGAAAACTTGCAGTTCAGCAGCAGCACCAGGTCCCCGAGTTCATATTCTGGTCCTTGGCGATGAATTGGCACGACAGGCAGACCCAAGGGCTAGACAGATGGTCGGTAACCAATGGAATACGGCCGCCCCAGGACTTGAAGCAGACTCCAGATTGACCCATAACGAGCAAAAGAAGGCGTTGCAGAAGCTGAAGAAAGAGATATACAATCCTTTACGGAGGAGAATATCGCAGAGAGTGAACTTGTATTACAGAGACATAGCTGTGAAGGAGAAGGAAATGGAGAATGATGAAAATGGCAAGAGGTGTCCCATTTGCTTGGATGACTTTGAGCCCAAACAAGAGGTTATGCTCACTCCTTGTAAGCATATGTTTCATGAAGAATGCATTGTGCCTTGGGTGAAGAGCAATGGTCGTTGCCCAGTATGTAGGTTTTCTATATCTGAGTGAACAATAATTACCTCTTCCAGAGAAAAAGAAATATTACTAGATTAACAGCGTAAACGAGTCGCGGCAAAAAAGTATTACTGTAACAAGAACTAGTTTAGTTATGATATTTTAGTTGTTGAAATAGAGTTTAAGTTAAAGAACTGTCGAATGTTTTAAAGGGTGAAGGCAAAACCAAGGCGTTTCATGGACAACCTCGAGTACTTAAAATTATTATTAATACTTATATATATATATATATATAGAGAGAGAGAGAGAGAGAGAGAGAGAGAGAGAGATTTTTTAGAACAATCAAGCAAACATGTCAAGCAATCAACATTTGACTATTATTATTATTTTTCTAATTCACATCATGAAGTCACAATAAACTAATAGAAACTAAAAGTTAGAAACATAAACTTTATAAAAAAATAAAAATAAATAAATAAAAATCCTGTTCAAAAGGTCGTTTTGTGTTTGTCTATTTTTAAAAATAAAAAATAAAATAAAATAAAATTCATACGCCTAGGCAGCCTAGGCACTTGAGGTGATAGCCTAGGAGTTTAGGCTTAGTATATAACCCACTTCTGCTGGGCAGAGATGTTTTCCTCATAACTTTGCCTCGCCTGGGCAAGTCATAAAACTAGTTTTTTAAAACACTTGAACTAATACATATAACTCTTATCTCTTAAATCATACTAAATGCGGGCTCGTTTGACACACGTGATTAGATTGGAATGGATAACCTTTTGAATCATACTAAATGCGGGCTCGTTTGACACATGCTTAGATTTAAATGGATAACCTACTAAATTAAAGGTTTATTGGAGAAATTACTAAAACTCAAGCATCACTGCAATCGCCTCCGTAGCTAGCACAGTAAATAGGCCGCCATGAAATCGCCACGAGTGTTACGAATAACCACACCAACACCTCGAAATGAAATGAAACGCCCCATTTTTCTGGACAACAGCACCAACACTGCAGTCGCCTAATTAATTTGGTATTCTTAGGGGCCGTTTTATTTTCATTTTTTTTAATAAATGGTATTATCTACACTAAGGGGAGAAAAGATGGACTTAGTCTCACAATTGGTTAGCAATAATGTGGTTCAAATTCGCCTTTAGTAAGAATCAAACCTAAGACCTCTCATGTGAAGAAGAATATTACTAGACCGTAGTACTAAGTGGTAACTTTTTAAAACTAACAATTTAAAAACTTGTTTAGGAACTAATTTCAATTAAAACAAAATTACAATGAAACCTTATTTCCAAATAAGAAATTGTTGGGTTTTTTCATTCATAGGTTTGTTGGGCTTGTATTGTAAGAAGGTGGATGAAGCCCTTATGTCCCCCATTTCTGAGTCAGCAAAAAATAGGCTCAAAAGATTCCAAAGGAGAAGCAAGTCCTAGGGAACGACTTGTTGTTCTTCTAGCAGCTCTTAAGGGCTTGATTTGATGTTACGCCAGATAATTTTGCCTCTAATGAAGTATTTCTAATGGCTTTAGTAAGATTGTTCAACTCTGAACAAATACTAGACATTAGAATAATTAGCATAAGAGCTTGAGACCCACAAGTTTAGCAAATGAGAGTGTATGATTTGGTTTCAAAAGAAATATTTGAAGAGATATATGGCGGTGAAGATTAGGGTTTCAAGGATAAGAATGTGAGAAAAATGGTTGAGGTTATGGCTTGCTGGGAGGTTTTACAGTAGCTAGGAGGAAAAAAGTTGGAGGCAGGACAGTGGGAAGCTTGAGGCTAGACTTGTGGTTGATGTAGGAAGCTTGCAGTAAGGTAGAGAAAGATTTTCGGTAGCTGGAAGAAGAGGTTCTTCTCCTTTGCTTGCAGTTGAGCGTGGTATCCTCCTCCCCATTTATATGATATTGACTTGCTTTTATAGAGGGTGAAGACTCTCTTAAATTTGTTGGGTAAAATGGTGTGCTGGAAACTACTTAGGAATAAGAGGTGTCCGAAGTAGCTTGTTTCCAACATATAAAACACATGATTAGAATCGTTTTATATATAAAGGATGAGATGGTTGAAAAAGTTCACGGAAAACATATGTCTTAGGATGTGTTTGTTGCACTAGATTATCTTGGACTGGATTAGCTTTAGGGACTAAATTGGACTGACTTTGCTTGGACTAAGCTGGATAAGAATTATAAAACATTTGGTGCAGTGTCGTACTAAGTAAAAGACTAATAATTTTTTTTTTTTTTTAACCAAAGACTAACAAATTTTTAAACCAACAATTTTTTTTTCCTTTGAAAAGAAAAAAACATTATTCCAAGCCATCATCGTCATCTTTGCTCATCATTATCCGAGCCTAGTGCCCCCCTCTTTATCTCTTACACGGAGTTTCAAACTAACTTTTTTTCTGTACTACCTTTCGCAAAGGGAACTAAGGATTCAAATACCCAATCAAGGCTATTGAATTCTTCTGACAAGTTTGCATCAAATGGGTTGCTTGATTGCAAACTCTCTAAGAAAGAGCTTCCGCAAAAAAAAAAAAAAAAAAAAAAAAAAATTGATTGCTAAGTTTGCTTCCTCATTATCTCCGATTTCGATTCTGACTTCGATCCAATCGCAATCATTGTAGATTTGCTTCTGATTTCTTAAATAGAATCAACCTTGATCTCTCTCTTTTCTCTCACAGTTCACCGCCGCCGTTGAGAAAAAGGGAGGGGAGGGTGCGAAGGCAAGATACTGGGAGTGCACAGGGTTCCGGTGAAATCTTAGGAGAAGGAATTGGGAGGGGATTGAGAGTTGGAATGAGAGGTCGTGGTGATGGTAGGCAAGCTAGGTCACCACAGATGGGGAACCACATGATTGCTAAGGATTGGTAATATGGACCTTTCAAACGGTATTAGCAGTGAAGCTTTTAGTGAAAGCGAATCTCACCTAGTCTCATTAAAGATAATCCTTCAATAGCGTCAAACAAGGGACTATGACAAAAGTTAAGCCAATCTTGGCTACTCCTGTCTATGAGCCCAAACAAACAGGGCCTTGGTGTAGGAATAGGGTGATGGGTTGTTGAGGTTAGGTCACTGTCAAATAAGGTGTTGAAAAGTATCTCATTTGTGTTGAGAATGAGTCTCACATTGATAGGATAAGATATCTTGCATGAGCTTATAAGAGGTTGAGCTACTCCTCATATTGTCAATTGGTTTTATAGTGGAACCTTAACTTTCTTAATGGTATCAGAGCAGGTCGTCCCATGTGTGAAGTCAAACGGTGACATGTACTCCATGTCACCCCGTTGTGGGGTATGTTGAGAATGAATTCTACATTGATAAGTTCGAAAATTTGCCACACCTGATGGGACGTGTTGAGAATGAGTCCCACATTGATGAGAGGATGGACCTTGCATGGGCTTATAAGAAGTTGGACTACTTCTCATATTACCAATTGATTTTATGGTGGAACCTCAATTTTTTTCAATTTGCTCACTTGGCATTTGTTTACTCCAAGTAATGGGCTTGGAGTTTGGTGCTCCCAAATAGACCAAAGCCTCCATTGTTGAAGAGTTTACATGGGCCTTGTGGACCCTTGTAACCTTTCACACCTCAATCACTCTAGCAAGCTCTGTGCAACCACATGTATTGGGTTATGTGAGTTTGGTACGTGTCGAGTTTAAAGGAATATTCTTAGCATGACGTAATATATTTCCGTATTTGGCATGTGTGATATATTTCCTTGCTTAGCATGGCGGGAGAATTAATTTAAATTCGTGTAAAGTCTTGATTAATTATTATTTTCCCAATAAATATCAAAATATAATTGAAAGTAATATAAGTTCATACGTTCGTACAAAAAACGTTTGGGCATTCAATCCTCTTGAGATTGAAGTAGACACGCACCACTTCAACAAGAAGAATAGTTGGAGAGTGAGAAAATGTTAGTAAAAAGGTTTGAATCTCTGATTGTGTCCAGTCCACGTGGTAATTGAAGTGAGTGACGTGATCTCTTTTTTCATTTTTGTTAAAAGGTTTTTTTTTTTTTGACAAATAATAATGTTAATGAATTAAATTATTAATTGTTAATAGAAATTAATCAATAAGGATTAAATTTGTACCAGAACACATAAACATAATTTATTTATGCTAAAGCGTTATGGTCATATTTGCTAGAGATTTTTTTTTATTTATTAAAGGAGGATAACTGGTGGCAAGCTACGGTTATCCATCATTTTTTAAAGCGGAAAGACTGACAGAGACATTTCAGCCTTCTGCTGGCCAGATGTTTGGCTTCTACATCAACAACAGATTTTGAACCCAAAATCTTCAGTTTTTATATTTAAGAAAACTTCGTAATCCGTTTTTTACTACCGAGTATCTGCTAGAGTTGAGTGACGTGCATTTTCAGATCCCTAGCCTTAGAAAAAACATAAAATAAAAAAGTAAAAAACTTAAACGACTTCCAAGTCCTCCTACTCACTAACGATAAGCCACGTACGCTGCTCTGAAACCACATCCACTTCTTCAAAAATCCCATTTGGCATCCCCAATCATTCGAGCTATTTATCTTGCTCGCCCCTTCCTAAAATCCCCATCCTTTCCCTCACAAAAATCCTCCATTTTTCAAGGTACGCGCTTCTCTCCCTCTTCTGCTGTGTGGTTCTGTTCTGTGTTTTTGTGTATCTCTGTCTTCATGGTTGTACTTGGAAAACAAACAAAATCTAGACATGTGTTTGATGTGCTTTTCCTCAATGGGATTTTTTGCTGCTGTAAATGTCAACTGGATGCTTGCTTCTCGAAGAAAGCTATGATTTTTCAATGATTAAGTTTTTATTTGCATTATTTTGTGAATTTATTGAACCAGAAAGTTGCGTCTTTGTTAACACTCCATCAGTTCATGTCACCTGATTGCTTTTTATTTTTATTTTTTGCTTTTGGTTGAATGGATTTTCTGAAAATATTAACTGAAAAGAATTGCATGTGTTGGGTAAAAAGGCGGTAGAAGTTGCTTCACTATTGCAGTATGAGTGAAGATCTTGATGTTCATTCATCTTGTTCTGTTAAATGTTGAATTACTCTAATTTGTAATGTTTATTTATGTGACATTTTTGGCTTAAGATCGTTAGGATGGTAGGAATTGAGATTCGATAAATTTAGGGCCTGCTTGGTATCCGTCTTGAATCCAATTTTTTGTTTTTGAAACAAATGAGCTCCGAGTAATTATTTGTTTTAGCTACTTTTTTCGGGACTGAGATGCAATCAAATATTAAGCTGGTCTCATATTTCCTTTATACTCCGATCTTTTGTTCTTCTGCATAGGTTGTTGAATTACTCAATTTCGTTTCCAGTAATCTGTGATTTGGCATTTAAACTTGCAAGTGCCTTTTGTTATCGTACTTACAGATGGCAGCATCATCAGCATGCCTTGTGGGGAATGGGTTATCTACCCGCGGTACTAAGACAAATTTGAGCAAGGACTTTTGTGGCAGGCATCTCTTGCACCCTTCAGCTCTTCCATCCTTGGGTAAAGTGACAAAAACAGTTCTCACAAAGGCGTCGCTAGACCAAAGGCAAAACGAGGGAAGAAGAGGCTTTCTGAAGTTGTTGCTTGGGAATGTGGGAATAGGAGCACCAGCTTTACTTGGAGCAGGGAATGCTTTGGCCGCCGATGATCAGGGCGTCTCTTCTTCAAGGATGTCTTATTCCAGGTTCTTGGAGTATCTGGACAAAGGCAGGGTGACTAAAGTTGATTTGTTTGAGAATGGAACCATAGCTATTGTTGAGGCTGTTTCTCCTGAGTTAGGGAACCGATTGCAGCGAGTTCGTGTTCAACTTCCGGGACTAAGCCAAGAGCTCCTCCAGAAGTTCAGGGAAAAGAATATCGACTTTGCTGCACATAATGCTCAAGAAGACTCAGGCTCTCTTTTATTTAACCTGATTGGAAATCTTGCTTTCCCACTAATTTTAATTGGAGGCTTGTTCCTACTCTCAAGGCGTTCATCTGGAGGCATGGGTGGTCCAGGTGGGCCTGGATTTCCTCTACAATTTGGTCAGTCTAAAGCCAAGTTCCAAATGGAACCAAACACCGGAGTGACTTTCGATGATGTTGCTGGGGTAGATGAAGCCAAGCAAGATTTCGTGGAGGTGGTCGAATTCTTAAAGAAGCCTGAGAGGTTCACAGCTGTTGGGGCTCGAATTCCTAAAGGGGTTCTTCTTGTTGGCCCTCCAGGAACCGGAAAGACTCTGCTAGCAAAGGCAATTGCTGGTGAAGCGGGTGTTCCATTTTTCTCCATCTCAGGTTCTGAATTTGTTGAAATGTTTGTTGGTGTTGGTGCTTCCCGAGTTCGTGATCTTTTTAAGAAGGCCAAGGAGAATGCACCTTGCATTGTATTTGTTGATGAAATTGACGCTGTTGGACGGCAAAGAGGAACTGGAATTGGAGGAGGGAACGATGAAAGGGAACAAACCCTTAATCAGCTTTTGACAGAAATGGATGGTTTTGAAGGCAACACTGGTATTATCGTGGTTGCAGCGACTAACAGGGCAGACATTCTTGACTCTGCCTTATTGAGGCCAGGCCGGTTTGACAGGCAGGTGTCTGTTGATGTCCCAGACATACGAGGAAGAACAGAGATCTTAAAGGTTCATGCTAGCAATAAGAAGTTTGATGGAACTGTTTCTCTTGATGTTGTAGCCATGAGAACACCTGGCTTCAGTGGGGCAGATCTCGCAAACCTCCTTAATGAAGCAGCTATATTGGCTGGTCGACGTGGGAAGTCAGCAATTTCATCTAAAGAGATTGATGATTCGATTGATAGAATAGTGGCTGGAATGGAAGGAACAGTAATGACAGATGGAAAGAGTAAAAGTCTGGTGGCATATCACGAAGTTGGGCACGCCATATGTGGGTAAGTGATACTTTAGTCTTTTATTGGTTGTTCTTATGAAGCTCAAATAACTAAAATTGTAGAAGCAGAAACTTAAATAACCCAAATAATGTTTTGTATTCTCCTCAATGCAGGACATTGACTCCAGGGCATGATGCTGTCCAAAAGGTGACATTAGTCCCTCGTGGTCAGGCTCGGGGTCTTACGTGGTTTATTCCTGCAGATGATCCTACCTTGATCTCCAAGCAGCAGTTATTTGCAAGAATTGTTGGCGGGCTTGGTGGTAGAGCTGCAGAGGAAGTGATCTTTGGTGAGCCTGAGGTGACAACAGGTGCAGCTGGTGATTTGCAGCAGATCACTGGTTTGGCCAAACAGGTAATTGAACATATTCATTATCTTCTCATAGAAATTTAAACCGTCAGATGACACAGATTACTGTGATCCTTGGTGTTATTAAATGTGACATGACATGAAACTATTAGCTCTGTCATACTGAGAAACTTAATTGGCATTGTTGCAGATGGTTACCACCTTCGGAATGTCTGATATTGGACCGTGGTCATTGATGGACGCGTCTCAGAGCGGTGATGTCATTATGAGAATGATGGCAAGGAACTCAATGTCAGAAAAGCTTGCTGAAGACATTGATTCAGCTATTAAGAGATTATCGGATGAAGCATATGAGATTGCGTTGACTCACATAAGAAACAACCGCGAAGCCATTGACAAGATCGTGGAGGTCCTTCTTGAGAAGGAAACAATGACCGGAGATGAATTCCGGGCAATCTTGTCCGAATTCGTTGAAATCCCAGTTGAAAACCGGGTCCCTGCTGCAGTTCCAACACCAGTGGCTGTTTAGATAGTGTAACTCATACCGTCATCAACACTTGGTTAAACTTCTAAAACTGGTAAAAATGTATAAAAGCTGTTATTTTTTTAAATCACATGTAAAGTACTGTAATTTGATGACCAAATATACTTGGGCCTTTGGTTTCTTCTATGAAAGTCCCTCCTGATTTTTAATCTCTACTACTGGAATTTGTAAACTCCGTTGAAACAAACTAAGACATGCAGATGGCGCTTACTGCAGTGACGGAAAACAATTATGTCTGTGCACTTTGATGCAAGTTCGATTTTTACTGATCCCCCCCTTTCCTAACAACTAAAACTTTAAACTATTATCGCTATCTCTTGCCAAAAAAAAAGCCATTTAAGACATGGGCAGAACAATTTGCACATAAAATTAGAGCTTGTATGTGTATATCACAGTCTGACACCAGCAAAAACAGTTTGATGATATTACTATTCATACATGTTATAATAGTTTAGAAAAAATAAAAGGAAAGAATAGAAGGAGAAACAACTATTATATTATATGATGAAATGACAACAATTTTATTATAAAATTAAGAAAAAATAGAAATATCAAATTGGACATTCAAGATTACATCTAAGAGGTCATTAATCTAAAGTAATTTCAACAAAATATAAAAGCCAACTTGGCCAAACTAGTTATAGTCGTATTAGTAGATTTGACGGTGAGACATGTCAAAGAATAAGCAAAAAAAGGCGTTCAACTTTTGAAATCATCCACACCCACACTCAAAAGATTGAGATGACACTTCAAAGTCAAGGAAACTACATGCATGATGAAAAAGCCAAACACTTAAGCAAATTAGCGTCTGAGAAATTTTACGCACAAAACCTGCAATATAATGAGCAGGAAGATACTCTTTAACAAGGAGCAGTGCCAACTCCGGAGAATACCTGACAACGAACCAACTAGTGTCCGTACCGACCTAAATTCAAATTTTACACAAGGGCACCACCACATGGTAAGTTAGTAACATAAAAATTCCTTGCTTGTTTTCAACAGAACCCGCCACGGCGAACCAGATGTATGGGCAAGTCGTTTTTCTACTCCCTACTCAACACCCTGGACATTCCATCCCCACGCTTTCTGTCCTCCGCCACCTCCAAAGTTGTAGGAGACTCGACCATCCCCGCCGCCGCCACAGAACAATTCACAAACCTCTGCTCCAAAGGACACATCAAACAAGCATTTGAGGGGTTCAAATCTCAGATATGGTCAGACCCATCTCTCTTCTCACACCTCCTCAAAGCATGCATCCCCAGCAAGTCCCTCTCTTTAGCAAAACAGCTCCATTCTTTGATTGTCACATCTGGGTGTTCCGCAGACAAGTTCGTATCCAATCACCTCCTCAACTTGTACTCCAAAGTCGGAGACTTGGATGCCGCTTTAACCTTGTTTGGTCATCTCCCCAGGAGAAACACAATGTCTTGCAACATTTTGATCAATGGGTACGTGCAGAAGGGTGATTTGGAAAGTGCCCAGAAGGTGTTTGATGAAATGCCTGAGAGAAATGTGGCTACGTGGAATGCCATGGTCACGGGGTTGACGCAGTTTGAATTTAACGAAGAGGGGCTGAGTCTGTTTTCTGAGATGCACGAGTTCGGGTTTTTACCCGATGAGTACACTTTGGGCAGTGTTCTGAGGGGTTGTGCTGGTTTGAGAACATTGTGTGCCGGGCGTCAGGTTCACGCTTATGTGATGAAATGCGGGTTTGAGTTTAATTTGGTCGTTGGGAGCTCTTTGGCTCATATGTATATGAAGTCGGGTAGCTTGGTGGAAGGAGAAAAAGTGATTACATCGATGCCAATTCGCAGTGTGGTTGCTTGGAATACTATTATTGCGGGAAAAGCTCAAAATGGGCATCTCGAGGGAGTGTTGGATCAGTATAACTTGATGAAAATTGCTGGATTCAGGCCTGATAAGGTCACTTTTGTTAGTGTTATTAGTTCGTGTGCGGAATTGGCAACACTTGGACAGGGTCAGCAAATTCATGCCGAAGCAATTAAAGCTGGGGCTAGCACAGTTGTTGCGGTGATTAGTTCGTTAATTAGCATGTATTCGAGATGTGGGTGTCTTGATGATTCTCTGAAAGCTTTCATGGAAAGTGAATGTGGAGATGCTGTAATGTGGAGTTCTATGATTTCTGCCTATGGGTTTCATGGACGAGGAGAGAACGCCATTAAGCTGTTTGAGGAGATGAAGCAGGAAGAATTGGAGACAAATGATGTTACTTTCTTGAGTTTGCTTTATGTGTGCAGTCATTGCGGGTTGAAGGACAAAGGACTTGAGTTATTCAACTCTATGGTCGAAAAGTATGGACTTCATCCTAAATTAGAACACTATACATGTGTGGTTGACCTGCTTGGCCGATCTGGCTGTTTGGAGGAAGCCGAGGCAATGATACGATCAATGCCTGTCAAAGCAGATGCTATCATTTGGAAAACTTTGTTATCTGCATGTAAAATCCACAAGAACGCAGACATGGCAAGAAGGATTGCTGAAGAAGTTATTAGGCAAGATCCACAGGACTCAGCGTCCTATGTGCTACTCTCGAACATCCATGCTTTAGCTCGAAGGTGGCATGATGTTTCTGAGATGAGAAAAACGATGAGAGATAGAAAGGTCAAGAAGGAGCCAGGTATAAGCTGGCTGGAAATTAAAAATCAAATTCACCAGTTCTGCATCGGTGATAAATCGCACCCCCAATCTAGAGAGATTGATTTGTATCTTAAAGAGCTAACATCAGAGTTGAAGTTGCATGGTTATGTGCCTGATATCGGCTCTGTTTTGCATGATATGGATAACGAGGAGAAAGAATATAACTTGGCACACCATAGTGAGAAGTTGGCAATCGCTTTCGCCTTAATGAACACTCCTGAGGGTGCACCAGTAAGGGTGATGAAGAATTTGCGTGTTTGCACTGATTGTCATGTTGCTATTAAGTACATATCTCTAATAAAAAACCGAGAGATTATTGTACGTGATGCTAGTAGATTTCATCACTTTAAAGATGGGAATTGTTCTTGTGGAGATTACTGGTAAAGGAAGGTTATACAAGTAAGTGTTCTTCATCTGATATATAAATGTTTGGACTTTTCCTTTCATTTTATAACAGATTAATCTGAGGATTTGGTGTTGCGTCAATAGTTCCTTTTTCTTCAGCTAACAGCACTTTGTTTCGTTTGTTTGCTCAAACGTTCTAGGATAAGTATTCATATACTTTTCAGAGATGGAAGGTTTAACTGTAAGTCTTGACCCCTATCTCTGTCTAACTGCATCCAGCATTCTGTTACAAGAGGCAGAGCCATAGTGTGCGCACGGATTGGAATGCCTTAAATAAATCATGGTGTTTAATATACATAACCCGAGTCCAATACAACGAAAAATCCTTAGTGTCAGGGTTTGTATTTGTATCGGTCATTGCAATAGTATCTAGTGGTTTTAGTTTTCCCTCCGTCCTTCATTTACTGGTTTCATATTCTTTGTGTTGCCAAGGAACCAAATGTTGAGTGAGTTCTTCGAATTCTCGTCCCGGGGCAACACTCCACCTTTGTCATACATTCCATACATCGCACTGGATTTCATTCATATGCTTGTGCAGGTTGTTGCAACAGAAGCTTTCTAGAAAGAAAAAGGCAGTGGAGGCTTTAGCTCTGCGTTCGCCATTTTAATATTGCAAGGTTGATTGGGATTAACGGTTCTTTGTATAAGTTTAAACTATGTTTGGTGGGATGCGCCGGGCCCATGCTGTAGTGCAACGCTTGGGCAACGCTCAAGAGCCCCAATAGCAAGCTATTGTGATGGACTCTCTCCCTAAAGAAATTAATTTAATATCGTGTGGACCATTGGTCCACGTATCAGATATTAAACTGATAAGAACAGATACTACACTTGATCTTAGCCAAAAGGCCGAGAAAGGTATGCCTTATCTCAAGTTTGGCTTGTGTTTATATTGGCCACTTCAGAAACATACTTGTCCCCAGTGGTCGATATGGGACATAAAACATGCATGCCTATCACTTATAAAAGTCATATGTTGAGTGAGTGAAATTAAAATATGAATGTATTTATTTTATGTCTTTATAGGATTGTATTTTTTATTAGATTAGGGTTTTGTTTCCTTGTCCTACAAGAGTTGTATCTCCATATTACTAGATATAAAATTGTGAATGAAATTTTGACCTAACTTTATATAATTGGGACAGTATTGGTGTGAATAGTAGTGGGTTGCTAGCTCAACCCTGGAATCTTGATAGAATCTCCCATAAAGTTGGGACAGTGTTCGGGTTGTGTTTAATTATCGTTTGTATTTGTCTTGTCATCTTTATGGTTGTAGTTACAATGAGCTGAATTGTCCCACATCGGAGAATGAAAATTTTGCATAATCGTTTAAAAGTGGCTTCTATCATGGTATCAGAATCATGTTATTCGCATATTGCTATAAAATATATATGTTGCTCATGTGTATAACCTGGCTCTAGATAACAGAAAAAAATTGGAGGAAAGACCCTTTTTTTTTTTGTTTTATCTGCGTTACTTGTTGTATTCACGCTTTTGCGTCGGCAGAGTAGTAGTTTGCATATCATATACCCTCCAATCTCCTTTTTTTTTATTCTTTTTTTTTTTCATATATGCATTCATCCATTTGTTAATTTCTTTTTCTGAACACATCATGGAATAGTTCGATACTTAAACTTTTGGAAAATTGGGTTATCTAATCGATTTTGTAAAAATGGGTTGTAGTTATGATCGAGCTCCCACAAAATTGTTGAAATGTTTATGGGTTGTCCAAGATAATTATAAGTGGTGAGAGCCAAGTGCTGACCCGAATGAGCGGATCCCCTGGATTTCTTGCCGGAATGGGAGAAACATGCCACCGAACTCTCAAGCTGGTGGCCGGAGGTGACGAAAGAGAGGCCGAGAAAGGTATGCTTTATCATGTACCCTCCAATCTCCTTTTTTTTTTTCTTTTTTTTCTTTTCATATATGCATTCATCCATTTGTTAATTTCTTTTTCTTAACACATCATGGAATAGTTCGATACTTAAACTTTTGGAAAATTGGGTTATCTAATCGATTTTGTAAAAGTGGGTTGCAGTTATGATCGAGCTCCCACAAAATTGTTGAAATGTTTTTGGGTTGTCCAAGATAATTATAAGTGGTGAGAGCCAAGTGCTGACCCGAATGAGCGGATCCCCTGGATTTCTTGCCGGAATGGGAGAGACATGCCACCGAACTCTCAAGCTGGTGGCCGGAGGTGACAAAAGAGAGGCCAGGGCAAGGGTGAGTTCCTACCACCGTATAAACCTCATATTTAGGGACATAAGGCTTCCAATGGGCCGAAAAAGAAGTCCCTAAAGTATAGGAAAGTATAGGGACTCGTCGGAATTCCTATAAAAATCCTCAAATGTAAGGATGCGGATAAGGACTCATAAATGGTGTACCCAGTTTGAAGAATTAGAGAAAGTGGGCTTGAACCCACGTGAATGTTGAAGCTGCAAAGCGCAGCGAAAATGCTAGCCCCACAATGCACTTGTTATCTATCTTTTCTTTTTGGTTCTTTTAAAATCAACAGCTTAAATTGTTTCATATGGTTTTCTTTTTTGGTTGTTGGAGATCGAAGAGCTACTTTTCAAACTCCCAATCTTTTTTTCCTCTTTATATTTGTTTGGGGATTCATTGTAGGGACTCTTTCAATGAGGTAAATACTTTGTTAACGACTCGAATATACTTGTTGAGTCCTAAAGAAGTTCTTAACAATAGTGGTGAATACCATATTATGAAGTCTCCCATTGGAGATATCCTAAAGAGGTTCTTAACAATAGTGGTGAATACCCTATTATCTAGTCTCTCATTGGAGATGCTCTAATATGACACCCCTCCTCACTTTCTCAGACATTTTAAGTGTTAGAAGTGACTTTATGATGGAAAGCTTGTCACTTTCTCATACATTTTAAGTGTTAGAAGTGACTTTATGATAGAAAGCTTGTGATTTGTGTGAAATATTGAATGGAATTGATGGATAAAAGACAACTGGAGATGCTCCCAAAACTAGTGTTTGAGCCACAACCATTGTAATCTCCTAAAAACCTCAAAACCGTTCTACTTCTTAACATATTGGACCATTGAAGAGTGAAAGCTTGAAAATTTTAACTAGATTTGGTGGGATGCGCCAGGCCCATGCTATAGTGCAACACTTGGGCAACGTTCAAGAGCCCCAATAGCAAGCTATTGTGATGGACTCTCTCCCTAAAAAAATTAATTTAATATCGTGTGGACCATTGATTCACGTATCAGATATTAAACTGATAAGAACAGATACTACACTTGATCTTAGCCAAAAGGCCGAGAAAGGTATGCTTTTCTTTAAGTTTGGCTTGTGTTTTTATATGCCACTTCACTAACGTACTTCTTCCACCAGCGGATGTGGGATATAAAACCTGTATGCAGTATGCCTATCACTTTGTCTTTGTTGTTTTAAGTCTTGGTGCCCACTGCCCGTACTTTTACAATTATTTTATTCTTTGTGGCATTAAAACAGACCAAATTGGAGGACGAGAGGAAGATTTGAAACTATGTTCAAATCAAAGGGAGTTGTCAGCTCAAGTTTGAACCAATTGAGGGTCTTTTTAAACTCGAAAGGATGAGGATTGAAAGAAAATAATACATTTTCTTGTAAAACTAAAGAGTCACATATATAGTTTGTTGTATTTTGGTTACAAGTCTGTTACAACCGTCTATGTAACTAATTACTAAATTAGTCAGTTAACCAAGTGTAATTAGTTACTAAGCTATTTCTCACAAGTGTATATAAACCAGTTGTAATTCCTTATTCATTAAGAAATGAAAATACCAGAATTATTTCCTATATGGTATCACTCGTCTCTCTGCTCACGCACCGATCCTAGCTTCCTTTGCAATCTTTGATTTTTCTTCCCAAATTCGTTTTCTCCCTGCAAATCCTTGATCGACAATGGCGTCTTCTACCTCTTCGCCTGCAAATCCAGAAGTTTCGCTCAGAATCCCACTCCTCTTTCCTCAATTTCAGCTCCGATAAACCCTAATTCTTCGATTTCTCCAATTTCAATCCAAAACATCAGTTGTATGGTTCCTACAAAGCTTAAGAGGGACAATTATCTCGCCTGGAAAGCTCTTTTCGCTCCAATTTGTTGACGCTACAAACTTACAGGTATCATCGATAGATCGGAGAAATATTCATCGCCCGTTCTTCTCAATCAATCCGGTAGCAGTTCTGCAATTCCTAATCCTGATTTCGAGATCTGGTTTGAAAAGGATCAAAATATCCTAATCTGGTTGAATTCCACTCTCCCTGAAGATCTTATTCCGTTCACCATTGGCGTCACCTCATCTCGAGAATTATGGCAGATTCTTGAACAGCAGTTTGGCGGAGTCTCGGCGGCGCACATTCACCAGCTCTGATCGCGTCTTCATAGGATTCAAAAAGGCGATTTGTCAATTTCTGATTATCTGCAGAGTATCAAAAGCATCTATGATGCTCTTATGGCTGCCGGAGCACCGGTGTCGGAAACAGATCTCATTGTTGTTACCCTAAATGGCCTCTCCAATGATTACAAATCTTTCATTGATTCGATAATGCTTCGAATTTCATCTACTTCCTTAGATGAACTTCATGGATTACTCATGAACAAAGAGATCTTTATGCATGGAAAGAAGAAAGCTCATTCATCATCTCTCACTAAACCATTTCAAGCATTTGCTGCTCAAGCTCCGCCTCTCCAGCAAGGCCTATTACCTACGCCTCCTCCCTCACAGGCATATGTTGTTCAACATTTTAACTACAGCACTCGCACCAATTTCCAGCGTAATAATCGTGGCCGCAACAATTTTCAGAAGAACAACAGAGGTCGAGGCAACTATCATGGCAATTATAACAACTCTGGCCCTGGTAATGGTTCCTTTCATCATAATACTGGTAATTACAATAGCAACTATGGTGGATTTAATCGCTCTTCTGGAACCGGTCTCCCTGTCAAATATGCAATTCTTTTTATCATAAGGCTCTTGACTGCTATGCTCACATGAATCATGCATTTGCTGCAGAGATTCCACCTGCCAAGCTTGATGCTATGTGTGCCTCTACTGCCTCTTCTTCTCAGCCTACATGGCTTCTGGACTCTGGTGCTACTGCTCATGTCAGCAATGATATCTCCACTATCTCTTCCCTCATTTCGTACTCTGGTGAAGACAAGGTTTATGCTAGTGATGGCCAAGGTATGCCAATCCATCATACATGTTCTTCTATTCTCCAAACACCACATGCTGCATTTCGATTAAATAATGTTCTTCATGTGCCAATGATGCAATTCAATTTGCTCTCTGCGTATTAGTTTCTAAGAGACAATTATTGCTCTTTAACTCTTGATTCTGATGGTTCTGTCATCAAGGACCGTTCCATTAGGAAGATGTTTTTTCGTGGCCTGGTTAGGGATGGTTTCTATCCTCTGCAAGGTCAGCCATTCCAAGCTTCATATTCTGCACTTGTTAACACTCAAGCATCCTTACAACAATGGCACAAACGACTCGGTCATCCTTCCACAACCATTCTCAGAAGGATTTTACATACAAATAAGCTTGTTCCTCATACTTCAGCTTCTGTTCAGTTTTTTTGTGCAGATTGTGCTATTGGAAAAAATCATAAACTGCCCTTTTCTTTTAGTACTACCCCTGTATCAAATAGTTTGGATTTAATTCATTGTGATGTCTGGGGTCCCTGTCCAGTTTCATCAATTAGTGGCTATAAGTACTATGTACTCTTTATGGATGAGTATAGCAAATACAGTTGAATGTTTCCTTTACAAAAAAAGTCTAAAGTCTTCTCTACTTTTGTCATTTTCAAAGCATATGTTGAAAACTTACTTGGCCATAAAATCAAGATTCTTCGAACAGATTCAGAGGGTGAGTTCACTGGTTCTACTTTTGCTTTCTTCTTGCTTCAACATGGTATTTCTCATCAGTACAGTTATCCCCACACCCCTGAGCAAAATGGGTGTGTGGAACGCAAGCATAGACATCTTACTGAGACTGCTCAGACACTTCTTGTTGCTTCCAAAGTTCCTCACAAGTTTTGGGTAGAAGCCTTTTCTACTACAATGTATCTTATCAATCGAATGCCTCTTTCTGGATCTTCTCAGTCTCCATGGGAAATTCTTTTCAAAAAACCTCATGATTATTCCAAGTTAAAGGTATTTGGTTGCTATTGCTATCTTTGGCTCAAGCCATATATGCAATCAAAATTGGATGGTAAAAGCAAACCATGTGTCTTTCTCGGTTATAGCCTTCAACACAAAGGTTATCGGTGTTTAGATGTGTCTTCTAATAGAGTCTACATTTCAAAGCATGTTCTCTTTAATGAAGATCATTTTCCATTTCATCACAGTAGCTCTTCACATTGTTCTTCCTCTGTCCCCTCCACTACATCACCTGAGTTCTCCCTGCCATTTCCTCTATCAAGTCCACCTGCAACACAGCCTTCTTCAGTATTCTCTCAAGGCTAACGCTCAAGCTCTTCTCGGGTGCATTCTACACAGCAACCTCAACCTACACAATCTACACAGCAACCTCAAGCCTCCATTTCATCTCCGATGCATTCTACTTCTTCAATTTCAACAGTCTCAGTTCCTACAAACACTCATCCAATGCTCACTCGATCTAAAGCAGGAATTTTCAAGCTTAAAATGTTAGCCGCCACAAAGCATCCTATTGATTCTAATTCATTTGTACCTACTACTTATTTGCAAGCCTCTAAGTATGATCACTGGAATGAAGTCATGCTTGACGAATTTCAAGCTCTTCAATCCACATGCACTTGGACTCTTGTAACCTCCTCTCCTCATCAAAACTTGGTCGGCTGCAAATGGGTTTTCAGGATCAAAAGGAAACCTGATGGTTCTATTGATCGGTACAAAGCCCATCTTATTGCTAAGGGTTTCCATCAACAAGAGGGTATTGATTTCAAGGAGACTTTCGGTCTGGTTGCCAAACCTGTCACTATTCGCATTCTCCTTACAATGGCAGTGCAATATGATTGGTTTTTACATCAACTTGACATCAGCAATGCTTTTCTCCATGGCAATCTCCAAGAAGATGTTTTTATGCAACAACCCCCAGGTTTCATTGATCCCTCCAATCCTTCTTATGTCTGTAAACTCAAAAAATCTCTCTATGGATTGAAGCAAGCCCCTCGGGCTTGGTATGACAAGCTGTTTCAAGCTTTGGTCTCTCTTGGCTTCACAAACTCCCAATCTGATTGTTCTTTGTTTGTGAAACTTCAACCATTCCCTGTGCTAGTCCTTGTATATGTGGATGATATCTTGGTGACTGGTTCTAATACCTCTCTCTGTCAACAATTTATTCAGCAACTAAGTTCCTTATTTCCAATTAAGGACTTGGGACCCTTACACTATTTCCTTGGCTTAGAAGTTCACCGATCCGATGAGGGTATTTTCCTGTCTCAAAGCAAATATGCTTTAGATCTTTTAGTCAAGACAACATGGCAGGTTGCAAGCCCTGTTCTACTCCTCTGGGAACTCAGAAGCTTGATCATACTG